GCTTCCATGGGAACAACAACAACAAAAAGTTACTGTTATGGGATAATCTGAATTTAACAGATGATCTGATCTGTGAAGAGAAACTGTCTCCTCTTTTGCAGAAGGTACATTAAACATTTGTCTCCAACTAACCCATTAAGCTTTTTAAGGATATCTCTATTTTCTCTCTTTTCTGATACATACTCTGCAATTTCTCACTCATGAAATATTCATCTAATTGTTAATGTAATTCAATTTAATATCAGTAACTAAAGATATTAAATGATATTAAGCTATTTTGAAAATGATTTGCTATCTTTAAGGATGCTTTTTATCTTATTTAGAATAAATAGTGACAGTTTTATTAGTTGCTATAGCAACCTGAAATTCTATTTTAAAATGTGACATTCCATTTTCTCAGAAGGCGTTTTAATAAGAACATATTGGTGTTTACTGAAATGAATACCTAATCTAACCATCATAGCAAGAGGTCATGTGATATAACTGATAATATAAAGAGTTACATAGCACTGGAAATGAATTTGGAAAAAAAAAAAGTCTTTTGTGAGGATTTTTTTACATGCATAGAATGTGTAATGACCAAGCAAGGATATTTGAGGTATCCATCACCTTAAGTATTTACCATTTATATGTGTTGGTAGTATGTCGAGTCCTCTCTTCTACCTATTGTAAAATATACAATATATTGTTGCTACCTATACTCAACCTAGCCTGGTAGGAAACATTGTAACTTATTTCTTCTATCTAACTGTCAGTTTATACTTATTCACTAACCTCTCTCTTCACTTACTCCTCTCACCCTCACACCCTTCCCCACCTCTGGTATGCTTTTTTTTTTTTTTTTCCATTTACTCAAGGTGCAATATGAGATTGTTAATTTGAGATCTTTCCAGCTTCTTGGTTAAAGTGTTTAGGGCTACAACTTTCTTCATAATACTGCCTTAACTGCATCCCAGAGATCTTGGCAAGTTGTGCCCCTATTTTCATTAATTTCAAAGAATTTTTTGATTTCTGACTTAAATTTCAATGTTCACCCGGAAGTTATCCGGAGCAAGTTATTTAATTTCCGTGTACTTGTATAATTTTGAGAGATTATCTTGATGTTATCTTCTATTTTTATTGCACTGTGATTGGAGAGTGTGCTTGGTATTATTTAAGGTTTTTGAATTTATTGGAACTTGCTTTATGGCTAAGTATGTGGTCAATCATAGAATATGTTGTGTGTAAATAAGGAAAATGTATACTTTGTGATTGTTGGATAGAATTTTCTATAGATGTCTATCAGGTTCAATTGGTCAAATATTGAGTTTAAGTCCAAACTTCCTTTGTTGCTTTTCTGCCTCAATGATTGGTCTAATGCTTTAAATGGAGTATTGAAGTCTCCTACTATTATTGTGTGGCTATCTAAGTATTTTTGTAAGTCAAAGAGAACTTTTTTTTTTAATGAATCTGGGTGCTTCAATGTTGGGTGCATATATATTTATGATAGTTAAGTCTTCGTGTTGCACTGTACCCTTCATCATTTGGCGACCTTCTTTGTCCTTTTCTTTTTTTTTTTTGAAGGAAAATTTGTATTTTAATTATTTTTATGTACAGAAAACTCAACAGTGTACATTTAACCCAGCTTAGTGGCAAGTTCTTTAGCCTTTGCCTTTTCGAGCTTGGCCATACGAGCCACAGACGGGATCCAGGACATTGCCGCCCCAGTGACGGCGGATCTCATCGTATCTGTCATTGTAATTGGTCCTGATAGCTTCCACCAGCTTAGCCAAAGCGCCTTTGTCTTCCGAGTTCACCTGTGTGAAGGCGACAGTGGTGCAGGTCTTCCTGTGG